TATTTACTTTTTCCGTGGGTAAAAGGAAATTATACGGACTCGTTTATTTCCTTTATCGCAATATTTATGTGTGGAAAAGGTAGTTAGGAGAATCAGGTTGTATCGTTTTTTTGAGAACAAAAGAGGTTCCTTAAGAAGAATTTAAGAATTCTAATAAAGTAAAGTTTAATTTTAATTTAAATTATTTTTCTATCACGAGAAGTTGTGCCATCTTAACGCCAAGAAGTACGACCGGCTGCATCATAAGAGACTAAATGATATTTGCTCATAACATTTCAAAGTTACTTTATGCATAATCTTATTTCTGTAAAAATAAATTAAATTTGTAAATATCCTTCGTTCTTTATATTAATGATTGTACACTCTTAAAGCACGTACTTCGCGAGGTAATGTATTGACATAAATAAATATATAAAAAATGAATAACAATTTTTGGATTGTACGAAAGCTACAATTTTTATCTCCAAATAAAAAAAAAGCTTTGATAGGTTGTGTTTTGCCATTTTGACGAATTGCTGCCATCACGTATGCCATAAGCTATACATGATGGCAGCAATTTGTCAATTGAACGTACGTGATATTGAGATACTCAAAATATTTGACTGAGAATGTACTATTTTTACGCGCGCGTATTCTGAACGTAACGTTTACATCTGGCAATCGCATGATAATGTTAACATGCAATAATTTTATTTGCATGTTAACATTGTTATCGATTGTTTCAATTTAAGAATAAATAATGGCAATTGGTATTGCTATATAAAAAATCCATTTCAATCGCTAGTTTACATGATTTTAAAGTAAATATTTACGATTATTTAGTAATTAAATCAACTAACTGCTACGGCGATAAATTTTGGATATTGACCCTGATTGATCTGTCGAGCTCTGATTGTCAGTGCTTTGTGCGACTGAGATAACGCTCTATGAAGCCGAAATTAGCCAATTGTCTCTTTCCAAAGGCCGATGTGCAATGTTTAATGCCGAGTATTGTATTTAGTAGGTTGTTTTCTATCTGTCTTCTTTACTATCATTTTATATTAGTTGTGATTTTATCGTTTTTTGATTTTTTTTGCTCTATTCGTAGCAGCCTCTTAAGTGCAATATGTTTGACTTATTGCACCTAATTAGATAAATTCTAATTCAAATATCTTTATTCAATATAGAAGTATTACACTTACTTATTGATTTTCAAAAACACTAATAGGGTGGTACTAAATTAGAAGGTAAAAAATGAAATTATTTCGAAAGTTAAAATTATATTTCCGATTATTTTTATATATAGGTACTTGCTATTGGATGTATCTATAATCATTAAATAATAAACTAATGTAAAAAATAATTGTTGATCAGAAATACGAATTAAATGAATGAAATTATGTTTACGGATTACTACAAATTAGAATTTAAATTAATACTACAGTCGACTCTCGATAGTTTAAAACTAAAGGGACCAGAGATTCAAATTTCAAATTATCAAGAGTTCAAAATAACAAGCGTTTAAATACTCTCCAAGGACTCAAGTAAATAAGAGTCTTATAAAAATTCTTCATTTATTATTTCTATATTATTATTATGCATAAACAATTAAATTCAATAATACAATTAATTATTCACAAATTTTTCTGTGAGTGACTTCAGTCTAGCATTGTCCAACGAACTTTCGATAGTGGTGAGAGCTGCGAACTAATCGTAAACAATTGATAGGTCTGTACTGTATTTACATACATGTACAAACGACAGGTATGTGCATGATAAACGCCTCAAGTTGTAGAGAGTAGGGAAGCTCGGACTTCAAATTATCGCATGTTGGGGAGCAAGATAATATTCTTTCAACTTTAAATTACCGAAGGGACCAACTAGCACTGATTTTATTCAAGTTATCGAGACACTGCTATTAACTTTACGGGGTATAATATAAAAAAAATTATTCGTATTTTTTTATGTGAAAAATTGCCAAACGAGCAGACGGTTCACCTGATGGTAAGTGAATACCACCGCCCATGGACATCTGCTACACCCGAGGGTTACAGATGCGTTGACAACCTTTTGAAAATTGGGCTCCGGCTACCTCACTCACCAGAAGAAACGCGAAAGTATTTGTGATACTTCCACTTTACGCTTGTCTTCTGTGAGGTCGTGGTACTTACTGCGCATCCTAAAATTTCACTCTCCTAATTGTTTTGCTAGCACGATAAAAGAAGTGTAAACTTCAAAACTTGTTTTCGGGAAATATCGCGAAAGGTATTCTTTAAGATTATTACATCACTGAAGAAGTTTTTTTCATCTTGAACAAGCGTCTATCAGGCCAAAGTGTATAAAAATACATTCGGTTAGTAGGTACACTGCACAGACGAGCAGTAAGATGTTTTTAACTTTTCTAATCTTATGCCACGTGTTAGTGTTAGTTGTTATATTCAAATTATTGGTTTCAAAGATAATGGAACAATCACATGTGCCTTATATGAAATAATACGTGGTTAAACGTTATTTTATTAGTCTCTGAAGCAAACAAGGAGAAAGTTTTACGACAGATAAATAATTTCCAAAGAGGAACGACAAATTTATTCCGGGATATTGTAGAGGAAATAACAGCAGATGGATCGTAACTCCGCTGTGACTGACACTTGATAATCGAATTTTTATTTTAAAAAGAAACGGTCAATCGAATTTACTTCTTGTTAACCATGCATAATATAAAGTTTAAAAACAATGTAATCTCCGCTTAATAGTGAACCTTTTTTTACTAAAATTACTCTAAAAAAAGTAGTAATTTATTAAAGTAAACCAATACTTTTCGAAGAAAGACTTATCCCTTGTGTTTTAAACTTGGTTTAGCTTAATTCAAAAATTGGTTGAATGTAATTTTGTTAAATGCTGAACATATGTCGTGCATTCTACCATTTAAGTTCCAAAGTAGCTGAACGATGGAGTTCAATTACCAAAAAGACAAACTAAAATTAATATTTTTTAGAAATAAAGAAGTATATTCGTTTACTATAAGTTTATTTGAGCTGTAGTAAACTGAGTTAAAATCTACAGAATGATAAACATGGTATCACTAGGTCAGCAGTAAATAAAAGTATTAGGATTATACTTACACAACATACTAGTAGTAGACTCGACGGTGGTAGGGCCACGCAGCAGCCTCGGCCGTTGCACCAATGGGCAGGCTCGTCCGGGTTAGTACCACGACCTCACAGAAGACCGGCGTAAAATACAAGTTTAATACTTTCGCGTTTCGTCTGGTGAGTGTAGTGGCCGGAGCCCAATTATCAAAAGGTTGTCAACACATCTGGAGCCCTCGGGTGTAGCAGATGTCCATGGGCGTCGGTATTTACTTAACATCAGGTGAATCATCTGCTCGTTTGGCAACTTTTCAAATAAAAAAGACACATTTTGTAAGTTATGGAATATGGTAATTCTCAGTAGTAATCCTTCATAGACATGACTTTTTGCAGTTGAAGCGTTGGCATATACTGATAACGTATTTTTTCGAATTGTTTTATTTTATTTAACTGACTTTTCAGGATAAAGTAGTGTGACATAGCAAAATGTAAATTATACAAACAAAAGTAACAATTTTTAAATAACTTTTTTGTTACGGTTTCTAGAAATTGGTTGTAATCTATTTTATAACATTGTTTAAAAAATTATCAAGATACCATAATGTATAATATTTTGTAGTGCTAATTTTCACACACTAGTCTAATATATACTATACACTAAAATCTGGAAGAAGTGTAAATAAAATCATGTAAATACAACGATAACATTAAAATTTGTATAATGTAACATGTGATATATTAAAGTTTCCGTTGGTAAAACAGTCATTTCAGAAAACTCGAATTGCATAGATTAAGAGCCGACAACATTTCCATCTGTGAATAGTGGCGCATGTGTGCTAGGAGATAGCCACGAGCAATAGAATTAAGTTTATTTAAGCCGAATGGCAGATGTGTAAATGCATACGAGACTTGCGCAATTTCCCCTATCTCAACCTTAACGGAGCGTTACATTTCTGCTGTACGTGCCTCGCATAGATAATGGCGGAATGAGCTGGAACATTCCCCAGGCGAAGCAATCAGGATCGCGTTGGTTTTCATTTCTAATCTCGTACAGAATTCTCGAGGCTGTTCAAAATTCTCATTATGGGAGTTTGAAAATGTTGCCTTCTTAAATAGCTAGTAAATTAAATCGAAGTCAAGAAGAATAATGTGATGATAGGGGTTAGAGAGTCTTTATTTGACAATTTCGAGTATTTTCGTTATATAAAGCTACTCATTGACCCGTTTGGAATTTTCGCATAGTACGGCACTATCAGTCGCACAATATAATGTAGTCTTATTCGCTTAATTTCATTTAAACGAATTCTCAATACGTGCATACGTGTTTTTATCATAATTACTTTACAAGAACGTAAGTTTTTTGTATGAACAAAATATTTTTCTTAACTATTTTTTGTAACAGCTGCGAACATAAGCTTTAAAATGGCTTTGAGTCATTAAAATTAGATGAAGAATTTACAAACCATATTTGAGCAATAACGCATAAAGATATTATAAAACAAGTAGAGATAAAGGAATATATTCTAGCAGAAAATATTCATATACATTTGATGAATTGACCTTCACTACTGTGATTAAGTAAGGACTTTTGGTTCATTTGATCATTAGATTAATGTAATAAAAATTCTAATGGCTGGAACACGTAAGTTCCCTGTTACGGTGTAACTCTAGATGAAGTTAAAAATAACACCTCATAACAAATCGCGTCCCAGTTTATAACGGACTATTCTGAAATTCAACTGACCACGGGGACATACGGAACTGCACAGTGCGTTATGCACATAATCTGAGACTGTTAGGAACGCGACACCGTTATGCTGCGTGCACATGGCCTATGCGTTGGATTTAAAATTTACGAGGTTTCGAGCGCAAAACTGGGGCTCGGATCTTGTGTTATTTCGGTGTCGGTGTCAACTCGACACTGCTCTAAAAATGTCTGTGCGGAAAGCAGCCGAGTTCAGAGTTAGGGGACGGGTGCGCGGACGCCGGTCGGGGGCAGGGGGCGGAGGGGGGGCGCCCACGCTTTACCCGCCGCGCCTTGCCGCCCGCCCAACGCCAGTCAGCAACTGTGGCTCGTGTTGGCTGAACCATCTTGTAGGGCCATCCTCTTTTTCTTGCCGTAGGTGAGTGGTGACATACATTGCTACTAACAAAAGAGTCGATAGGGAAAATTTGACGCGCTCCAGTGATCGATTGTTTAGTGAAGTGGTGCACGTTTGCCGCGCAACGGAACACCCACCTCGGGCAGGATTCCCTGTGTGTGGTTATTCAATCAGTGCACGTTTAACATGCTCTTTACAGCAACGCGGGCTACGATAAGGGTTTTCCATCTTGTGCTATTTTACATGTGGTTAGAATGTCAAATTGGAGGTCAAATTTAATGTTCGGTATCCTTGTACATTAAAAAAATCCGAATCGAAAAAGCTTTCTAGATTAACTTTAAAGGTTAACAAAGTTATGAGAGGGACATGTTTTTTATAGTGATAAGCTTTATCATAACATAGAAAAGAATTGTTGTAAGTAAATGTATTTATGGAAAGCAATACACGGATTGCGTGCGCCTTGCGTCATTGCTGAAAAGCTACGTAACTGAAGCGGCCGGTCCGTGCAACCAAATTAGGATGCGCGCGTCGAACTATTTCGGTCGCGCGCCGCTGCCCATCTCCCGCGCACGTATCGGCACTAATGTGAACACACGAAACTCGTTTAAGATTAAAACGGTCTCCTAAATTAATCATCTCATTGTTTTTTTTTTCAACGTTTTATTAGGTAATGCAAGGTCGGACTGTTCTCACTTCAAAGTAATTCGGGTTTTAAATTATTAATTATAACATCTTTTGATGTCTGATGTAGATGATAAAAGAGGGTTACACAAATTCATGGTATCGAATGTCGATTTTTTAACACCTAGATAGCGAGAGTTGGAAGTGTGCCAAAGCGTTTCATGTATCACTCATGTAGGGCGGTGCTCGCCAAATACGTATTTTTTTTTTGTTCAGAGAGTTACTGGCGATACTCTATCATGTTGATTTAATGTGTGATCCTACTACATTTTTCGAAAATGTGATTATGTCGTGACCTCTAATTTTTACTATTCCGACATTTAAATAACATTCTTCTTTACAGTTATCCAACTATAGAAAAATTATGGATACCTACTCAAAAGATTTACAAAAATATGTCAGTGGAACATTATAGTACCAATTACCTTGACCTTGAAATTAAGTTAATCGTATATTCTGGAATAACTCAAATATGACTATAATTTAATAGTCATTCAAATGATTTACTTCCTAATTATGAATTAATCTTTAGGTTTTCTGTTCTAAAAGACAACGCTATTATTAAAGTGTGTATAATAACGTTATATATTCGTTTTTGTTTTAGGACATCTCATAAAACACAAACACAATGGCGGATGATGAAGTGAGGTAAGGTGTTGATAATAAATCAGTTTTCTTTCACCCCCCCCCCCCCCCCCTTTTTTTTAAACAAACTTTTAATAATACCCAAATACTTTTTTGATACGAACCTTCGGAAGATTGTAGAAATTCGCCATCAGCGTATTTTATCTATGACTATGATCTTCTATGATTACGGAAGTTATGATTTTAGAGTCACGTAATACATCAATATACAAGCATAGCATAAAAAACAATAATAAAATATGATCCTCTTTAGTAAAAGAGACATGTGTTTTTATTACTAAAGATTTTTTTTGTTTATGTGCAAAATTATCCAACGAGCTGGCAGTTCACCTAATGTTAAGTGAAGACCACTGCTCACGGACACCTACATGTGAGGCTTGTAGATAAGTTGAAAACTCTCTTTAAAAGTGGGTGCTGGTTACCTCACTCATCAGATGAAACGCGAAAGTATAATATTTCCACTTCACGCTGGACTTCTGTGAGGCAGTATCTCCTGGTAGCACGAGTCCGGCATTCGTAGAACCTTTTGCGTACCGTAGTAAGAAAATACTCTGATTTACTGATCTTTATTGCTGAGGACATACTACTCTACAGTTTAACTAATAGATCATTTTCTCTTCTTATCTCTTTTCATTGGATCTGCGACTCTTCGTGAACTTCGGTGTCGGAACATCCTCGGTGTACAAATTGTATCTGCGGCGATAACAACAGTATTGAGTACAATGTCTCCTCGAGACAAAGGTAAATAACTAAACGTACTAATCCACTTACAAAATATACCGACAAGATACGCGATTTCTTTACGCCAATACAGAGAATTCAAAACACACTATACTACAAGCAAAGCAAGATTGTAATGGCAAAACGCAATCGCAATATCGATTGTACGTGTATTAAAGAGTACTTGATAAAATTTTACATGAACTTTCTGTTACAGCCTGATTGTTTATTTTATAAGTAAACATATTGTAAGTCAAGTCATGGATTTTAAGTTTTGAATATGATATTGACTTTGAAGATAATTTCTGTTTTCCGAGCTTACTGTGATAATACTTATTAAAACCAATAATTTTATTGAAAACTCGCAAAATTAATAATGTCTTTAAACAATAAAAAGAAACAATTCAAAACACGCACTAACTGTTCTGTGTTATTTGGACATGCTTATTTTTCTCTTTTAATATAAAGTTATATGTACACTCTTTCTGGTAATGACTTGTGCGTCAAATATAAGCATGTTCAAGTAATGAATAAATTTGCACAAAATTCACTATAGCACGAGCTCACACAGCATTTTGAAAATCTGATTCAAAAACTGTGTTTGTGAAAATTGTAACACAAATTCTAATAAATACTTTACACTGTGTATTATGTTTTTTTTCATGGGCACATTATTTTACGTTATTAAAACACATTTCATTAAAATCAAACAATTGACATATTATATCATTAATTACTTTATTGAGTGTGTTCCTAATGTTTCTTTTATTTCTTTTTCAGAAAAAGCGTCTCGAGGAGGTAAACCCTAGGACAAACCAATTAAATTATTCAATGTTGACCCTAAAGTTTTATTTACAAATTTACTTTATAGCTTTTATTTACGAATTTAAATACCTATACATTTGAGCTATTTTTGTATTAAGGATTTCGATATGTATCGATGTTATTTCTTTTTCAAAATTCATCAAATTTCTTTGTTTTATTTCATATTTTATTAAATGTAGTAGATACAAATAGTTGAGTTACTAACTTGGGTAGGGACTAACAATGATTACTAGCTTTGAATTGGTTGTGTTTAGGCGAAGAAGGCCAAACAGGCCGAGATCGACCGCAAGCGCGCTGAGGTGCGCAAGCGCATGGAGGAAGCCTCCAAAGCTAAGAAGGCCAAGAAAGGTTTCATGACACCCGAGAGAAAGAAGAAACTTAGGGTGAGTATCAATCTCTGCTGATTTCAAATGAGAGCGTAGTTAGCATACGTAGAGACGATTTTTTACACGGGAAGCGATCATCGCCCCTGATATCCACAACATTAATGTTACAAACAATAAACCGTTTACCACACTCTATAATATTTCACTTCAAGCCATAATACTTCTTCTATTAACCGATATCGTTCATGCAGTGGCAGCGCTCTTACCACAGTAAACGTTTTGTTTTTTAATAGCAAATCGAGATAAGAAATGTTTCTTATCTCGCTTTGAATACTATTATGATACAAAAATTAAGTATTTCTATTGGTTTAAATGAACTGAAGCGTTTAAGTCACGATAGGTTAAATATAAAGGAAGTATTTTTTAAAATTTAATGTGACGAGTTATTTGATTAATCTAACAGTTGCTGCTGCGTAAAAAAGCCGCCGAGGAGTTGAAGAAGGAACAGGAACGCAAAGCGGCCGAAAGAAGGCGCATCATCGAGGAGAGGTGCGGTAGACCCAAGAACATTGACGACGCAAACGAAGGTACATAGCCTCTTTACTAGAGTTGAGTTGAAATTTTTACAAGAATATCCTTACACTTCCATGTTACTGTATAAAAATATGAATAATTGACATTCGGTGTACAGATGAAAGGTGTACACTGCACAAGATAGATAACAGGCTACTGTGATAATCAACTGTTGATTGATTTAATCATTATGTATATCGCATTATAGATGCTATTTCGAGGGTTTGCAAAGAATACCACACCCGCATCGGCAAACTCGAAGACGAAAAGTTCGATCTGGAATACATCGTTAAACGGAAAGATATGGAGGTAGCCACATAACCTGCTACCAAAACGCTCTCTTTTGACGAACTCACAAAACTTACAAAACTCTTACTTTCGTTTGACTCTTTTATTTGACCAAATGCCGTGCTGTCTCTATTGCGTCTGTTTAACAACGGATAACGCAGTCCGAAGTGTGTTGCCACTGGGATTTTTTCCAGGTTGCGGTCCATTAAACCTTTCCTAATTTATCTACCAACTTTTCTGAGCTGTATGTGAAGTCCTTAATCTATCGCGCCAATACTTACACACTTTCACTTTGAGAAAATGTGATAAATTTCTATCTGAGACTCACTTTCTCGCTTACTCTTTGCGTGCTGTGCCGCTATCGGCCGCTAGGTTTAAGTCGGGCGTAGCGCATTACGCAGTAGATGGGAGTAACATTTGGTTGATGTTATAGCCGCTCTCACGAGCATCATAACCGGTTATCATCAGCGTATCGCCAAGCTTGAAGAAGAGAAGTACGATCATGAGATGGAAGTGGCGCGCAGAGAGCTCGAGGTCTGACCTGGTTTGGGCGCTAAGCAATACTTATAATACGCTCTACGTTTGCGTAGTTCATGCCAATTATGTGACTAGAACACGATTTTGTTTTTCTTTTCAACCGATTCATTCACATTACAAATTTTCAAATATTACAATGTACCTTTAAACCTTAACTAATGTGGATAACATGTAAAATTAATAAATATTAGTTTGCGTATCATAAAAATAACAACGTCCCGTTATACCAAACACCGGAGTTAAAACTCTATTGTAGATATTGTCGACGAGTTTTAATAATTTGGGTCCCACTTAGTTATTATCACGTAGCTTTGCTTCCGCTTTTCTCCCATAGTTTATTTTGGACTATCAGTTTCGTTATGCACACTACCCACAAACGTTTAAGGCGGCCCACAGTGTACCGATGTTATACTATTCTTAAATATCATATTGTTTTTCTTTAGCGGAACTGCAGACGATATGTCAAATGTACTGGCAAAGAATATACGACCTTGAGGGAGATAAATATGAACTAGAACGAGCTAGCGCAATTAAGAAAATGGAGGTAAACTGCATAATAGGATTGGGAATGCATATGACGTGAAATTATTTAATACCGAGTTAGCTGTTACGATATGATATGATAGTTGTACGGCTCACCGCACACATGCACACGTCGCTCCGACGACAGACCGTGTACCACTCACACAAGTGTTCATATTCATTGCGCCGGCTCAATAATCTGTATTTCCTTTTTCTATAGAAATGCTCAAGAGAATAATACAGGAGTATTATGACCGCATGTATATTTGTGAGGGCCAGAAGTGGGATTTGGAACATGAAGTCAGGAAAAGAGATTATGAGGTATTGACCGATACTTTATAACCATTGTGAATATCACGTTCATCGATACTGTAACAAACGTTCGCGTGTGACAGTTCGTGTTGATATACTGCTTTACGAGTTTTCGGTTGTTTGTTGGATTGTAAATAACGGTCGAGGCGCGGGTCGTTAGTGCTGTACTAGTAGATTAGGTGTGTGCGTGTAGTCTTAGTATGGTTGTCGCGAGCGAAGAGGCCAGGCCCGGTGGGCGTGCGGTGCAAAATCGATCTCGACTGGCTGGGACGCATTTTGAGGGATTCTTGGACATGGGATTTACACGATTAACTTACTCTAACTATAGTAACCCATTTGGGTTGTTACCCACTGTAACACTGCATTCACCACTGAGGCGCTGTAACGCTCGTCGCTGCATGCACGCTGTTTCTCCATTTCATCGTTCATGACGTCTCTATTTATGTATCGTAACTCCGTCGTCCTTCGAATCCGTCGTTCGTTATTTATTGTAAGCAAGATAATCTTATATATATTATCGCCTAACTCAATAAATATGTTGCATGATTTGGTTATAACAATCTTAGCTTCCACCTCCCCCATTAATATCCTAAAAATAGTATGGCACTTTAATATCCGAGTGTGGAGAGTAAAGAGATTCGGATACCGACCTTCGCTGCGTTTGGCCGTGTGACGCTTTTGTGTGTTTATTATTATATAATGGCCTTACTGAATTTTCTCTTTTTTGTTAAATTAGCAGTACCGTTAAGACTATCGTAACGGTTTTATTAGATCCTCAATTCGCACACGCAAGTGCATTAAACGTGAAACTTCTTGTTCCAAATCTCAAACTTTTCTTGTATGATCCGGTGTTTACCACGCGGTGTGACTGCTTGCTCGGTAACTAAACACGTGCCGAAACCTTTGTTTTTTGTTCCTGTTTTAGTGGACAGCGAGTGTTAAGAATGAAAGTGCCATGCTCTGGTCGATGTTGCCCGTTCCTTCCCCTGACACGTTCGAGTTGGTGGCGCTAGTGCGCCTGTGTACATTTCACCAACTCTGACACAGAGCATGCACACAGAATGCTCACCTGTATCCCAAATACACTATGTCACACCACTTAACTTATTCCTATATGTGATCGATTTTGCACCCACACACTTGCGACAGTTCTACTTATCATATTGAGCGTGGGAGCGTAGCGATTCGGCGCAAAGAAGAAAATACGTTTATCATAAGAAGTTCAATTGATCCAGCGCACGCAATATGTTACAACGAAATGCTGTGTTTTTTGTAATCCGTTGCGTTCATATCTCATTTGAAGAAAAATTTTGATTAAGTCTGTGGCATTTCCTGTAAAGAAATTTTGTGTAACAATGAGAATAAGAGATTTACTCTACTCGTAAGTTAAGATATAGAAATTCAAGTTACTCAGCATTTAAGTGGTGAAATATTGTCGGCGTACGTTTTAAAGATTGTATTCTAATGCACTTAGTGTAATTATTGGTATCTTGAAATATCCAGGTGCTGCAGGCGACCAGCCACCGAAATAAAGTGTAGTAGTTAGTGTGCACGAAGAAGTGAGACTCAAAATCATATGAGTAGTGATTAGATATTTTGAATATGTGATATGTTACGTAGGCAAAGAGCACAAGCTATTATCAAAGGCATATAGATTAGGATGTGGGATCTACTTTCTCGTATGTACTTGTCTATTTCAGCCTTATAAAGACTTAACTACTTTGCAGCTCGCAAATAACCATGCCTAATATACGCTCAATTATTTATCTTCTTGTTACATCTTGAAATTAATCACTATTTTTATGATATATTACTCATTTAACATATTTTTCGTTTATCTTTTTAAGTCTATGTGCTTAATTTTCACAATTTCTGCTTTAAATGTTTTGAAAGTCGTTGCTTGAGTGTCTTGCATGACTTTTTAACTTTACTTTTAATTTTCCAATTTCTCTTTAACTATTTCAAACTCTTTCGATCTTAGAAGTGTTTTGATTTTCCTACCTTTTAAAAATTATAATGTCATATAGAGATGTTTAATTAAAGTTTAAATTTCCCTTTCCAATTGTGTATTTGAAGTTCTGAGTTATTTTTCATTTAATAGTTACGCACTATGTCACATACAGTTCTATCTAAAATTTTGCCTACGTCCAATGTTTACTCTGACTTGTGTATTGAAGCTAATTTATGTTACTAGATTGCCGACCTGAACTCCCAAGTCAACGACCTTAGAGGCAAATTGTAAGTTATTAAACATCTATTCACGCTCTTTACTATATCACTTCCTAAAACGACATAGATGTAGCATACATTTAAAAGTTCCGCCGTAAATGAATTTGTAAGGATACCTAATTTTCTCTAAACGTTAATCATTTCTAGTAAAGTAAATGTGATTTGGAATTACAAGTTGAGAAGTTTGAGAGCACTCCGGATTTGATAACTCTATGATCACCTCAAAGTAATTTAATGAGAATTCATTCTTTATTAATGTCAACATCATTTTAATCTTAGCGTCAAACCTACACTCAAAAAGGTGTCTAAGTACGAGAACAAATTCGCCAAGCTTCAAAAGAAGGCGGCTGAATTCAACTTCCGCAACCAGTTGAAGGTAGTCAAAAAGAAGGAGTTCACCCTCGAAGAAGAAGACAAAGAGGTAAATAAAGTTATCACTTCAATTAACTTACTAAAACTTCCAAAAAGAAAATAATATAGGTATATAAGGTAAATTTCTTTATAGTTTTGTTTTATAGTGTCATAAATGAAGCGTAAAAAAAGAAGTATTCGTGCATATGAATGTATTTTAGTTACAAGACAATATTAATATAATGCACAGGAATATAATGTATGTATCCCTGCGTTATAAGGATATTATTAAATTAATCCTTCAACAAATGTAAACAATTCTATTGAAATTTATAGCATAAACATTTTTGGTGTAAAATTTACTGACTTGGTTTTGTTTATATTCATCTGACTTTTATTGGCGAGTGATAGTTAAGAATCATATCTGTAATTTGTTCAGTAAGTCAATTTCACGGAAATACAATTCTTCTTTGCTCGTATTTTAACAGGCTAAGAAAGCGGAGAAAGCTGATTGGGCTATCGGCAAGAAGTAACCCAATATTGATTACAACTCAAACGTTTCCTTCATCAACACAGAATGTTGTGATGTCTTACTTATAACGTACTCGTACTTTTTAAAATAAATTTATTTGTAATTTTGATAATTCTTTAAAGTTCCCTAAAATAAGATAAGGTCCAAAACGAACAAGTATACTGAGGTGAGAACACGCTTCTTGAAGGCACTGGAATGTCGCTTCATCTCCTACATTATATATATATATACCGCATAAATAAGTGATATAATAACATTTTCTCCACCCCGAAGCGTTTTTGAAATATTTTCAGATCGAGTTTATTTTGATTTATTTCCCCGTTGAGCTTTGCACAAGGCAATAATCACACAAGTGTATACCATGCAGATTGTGACTAACAGTGTATCAGTGGTATTGGCGTACGCCATTTAAAATCTTTCCCGATTGTTCCAAACTAACTATACGTTTGACTTATCACACAATTTAATAATTTTCGTTTTCACACATCACAATGTTACCACAGTCAGATCTGAAAGTTTGTACGGACATTAAAAATTAGTGAGAAAAGGATTGTAATTTTATGGTAATCCACGAACACTTTGACGGGGAAAAATCATTAATTACAAATGTTTTGTTAGATTTTTATTGGAGCTTGTTACATATATTAATGGGATATTTCGCAGGCTGGCGGTGCAGGCAAGGTAAATAAAGGAAACGCCGGAGAATAAGTTAGCCACATTTTTCGACTAGTTGTTTACACTGGCATGTTCCAAATTATTTTTAGCACAGTTTGGCATCGGACCATTGATAGAATGGTGAATAGCTCTGTTCGGAATACAGACGATCATTGGCACAGGCTAGAAAACCGAAATAAACCTACTCGGAGACGGTGTATTTTCCTTCAGTTGCACTCTGTGTTTCCTATCTACAACAAAAACTAGAGTATAGTTTAATTCTTTTCGACTTTTCGTTTGTCTGACATCTTTCAAGGTTTATCTTAGGGTCTTTGCACTTCTGTAAATATTTCTCCAATGCTAACGTATTATCAAGCGTAAACAGTATTTATTTATGAATTTTGAATTTTAACTTTGAATTTAATATTTGACTATTACTTCCATTAAAATTTATACTTGATAACGTGTTAGTACTGTTTTTTCTACAAGCAGCCTTTAGATTAGCAGCAGATTGAGCTTTTTTAGCAAAGTTCTAGACATATGTACAAAACCTGCTTCGAGGTGTGCTCCGCTTATAGAATTTTGATTTGCAACTATGTTTTACTGTTGCAATTTGTACGCTATGCTATTTTAAAACACATTCTTTCTGTTGGCATAGGGTATACCAACCTTATTAAGTTAAAAGGTATATTGCAGTTGAAGTAATAAAATGATTATTTAAGTAATAAAATAAATATTTAATATTTTCTACCGTATGTTTTATAATATTACATGATAAGAATCCTGCTTGCGGTAAAATTACCGTTTTTGATAAATGACTTAAATATATTCATTATTGCTTCGACTGTTGTTTAGTGTATTGTGAACATGATCTCTGTATTTTTTGATAGTTTTTCTAAATAATCTGCAAACAGTAAAAAAAGTAATTCCAGTATTTTTAACATCTAAGCTGGAATTTTTTACATATGATAATATTCTGTGTGGAGACTAATAAGTGATCGGTAGTAAAAGAAGACGCAATTACTAAATTAAATATATATTATTATAATAACGAGTAGAAAATTAATAATCCAGTACTTTAATAACATGTTTAAAACGCCAAATTATTATAAACTGACGTAGGACCACCCACTGTAAACAATTCTAAGCATCCATCTAAAATGATTCTTTTCCCTCGCAGAAAAAGCCAGACTGGTCGAAGGGCAAGCCAGGTGACCAGAAGGTAAAAGAAGAAGAGGTTGAGGCATGAAGTGTTAAACACCCCCTACCAAAAACTATAATGTGACCTTAACGTACATTTTTTTGACTTTCAAGCCGTAGATATTAGTATATTGTGATACCTATCCTAACACACGGCTATATCAGATCTGGAATCCCTTGCCCGAAACAGCCAACGGCATATTCCTCCATTATTTGTATGCATTGTCTAATGGCAAACCGTAAACAAAATTTCGTAACTGTCAAAACCAAGTTTTTTAATTATATTATTTATTTATATAAATAATTTTTTGTAAGTTAATAATATGTTTAATAAAATTAATTTTTCTGTACTATATTTATATGTAATGTGATCTCATTTCGATACCACCCCTCCCCTTCCTGAATGTGAATCCATTCCAAATCAATGATTATTAGATTGTGTTATACATCAATAGTCGAATTTCCAAAGCATGATTTATATAATAGTAAGATATCCACGTCTTGTGTTATTTATTTATGTTTTTTTTCATCAAAATAGCCTGCAATGCTAACATAAAATGTGAGTAGATAAAGTATGGATTCAAAGTGAGTATATAGGTCAGTCACAAATTTGTACACACAAAAACATGAAATGAAATAAATTTAGCTCCTAAAGCTTTGAACCTTCATTGGCACCATACCGCGTACACTAGGTTTGTATGACAACGTGTAATATAGTAATTTTTTTTTAATATTGTAAATATTTTTTTTACTGTAAAATGGTCAATATATAACATGGCTACTAAGACACATGTGAAAACAAGTCAAAATCATTTCCTAAGAGACAAATTTCCCTTATATATAACATTTAGAACATGCTGAATCTAATTTGTATTATAGTAAAATGTCTTTATCATTTAGATAAATTTAAATTACTTGAAAAATTGGTAAGTATTATTAGATAATTAAGGTTTCAGTATTAAATACCTGTTCATTTTTATAGAACTTTTTTACAATTTCCTAAGATAATCTACTTAATTCAGTGTATGTTTAGTATTATTTTACAAAGAGTTTTTAAAGTTTTATTGCTAATTGGTTCTCATTTCAAACCTTATGTTTTGACAAATATAATTAATGTATTGTACATTTTTCCAAAATGAAATAGTGTGTAAACAGTGAAAATAAAAAGGGCAAGTGCATCATAAACGGCTTGTAAAGGTAAATCTTTTAAAAATCCTACCTTTAAGGACTTGAGCTGAGTTGTGTGTTCTGTTTGTTCCAAATTTCTTTATGTCAACACACACATTAAAAAAGTATAAGCAACACAAACCACTACTTCGACACGGCGATGTTCTGTGGATGGATGGATGAATAATATTCTTTAAAATATTATATATATTTTTATAGAACTTAACGAAATCGCTTCATCGATTCCATGACCTGATACTAAACTTATCCGGCGGTAATCGCAAAAGTCCTTGCGGTGGATACAATGTACAGGTTTCTTTTTAATGTACGAAGATGGCAAGCAAGCTGTTGATTCAGGTAACCACCGCCCTTGAACATCTACAACACCGGTAGGGCTGCAGATGCGTTGCCACCTTTTAACAAAGTGGGCCCCGGTTACCTCACTCACCAGACGAAACGCAGAAGTATTACTCTTTCAATCCAAGCTGGGGAATCTTCTCCTCGGAGGTCGTGCTATAGTTAAGACAGTTGCGTGGTCCTACCACAGTAAAAGAACCTTCCTCTGGAGCATATCCCACGCGCGCTGAATCGGGTTTAAGCGCGGATTGAGCGGACAGAAACTGAGTATTCTTCTTTAGGAACCCTTTTTGAGTCCTGGGTGAGTAGCACGAGAATTGTCGTGCATCATCATTATTGCTTTCAAATTTTCTGGATTCCTATCGCTCTTTGCATTAATTCCTTGTTAAACATTGTCGCTGCATAACGTGTAATCAGTGTTTATTAAGGTTTCAAAACAATAAATTCTGTTAAAGTTGGAAATAGTCATAATTCTGAATCAATGTGGTATTGGCCTACTTCTTAACGAAAAACTCCCTCTAAAATGAAAGAAATTTTTTTTCTTGTTTTATTTTATTATTGTAATGACATTTATTTTTTGTAAAAACAGAATTTATTTTCAGATTATAAAGATTGCATATAGCATTTAAAAACACAATTTTAGTACATTTTATCGTGTTGTTTAGTTTTTTGATGTGTATGTATATTTTTGCTTCCTTATAATACTTGGTAAACTAATAAAATTTGCTGTACGTTGTATCCACCTTGCCCACTTGAAAAAGATTCACGATTGTTACAACTGCCGGCTGTATGGCTTCTTATTAATTTATGAATGTAGTAGAAAAAAAAAATTATACGAGCTGGATACTGAGCGTGGATAAATATTCTTCTTAGGTGTCGACGGCGAACTTAAAGAAAGGAAACAATAAAAGAGAGAAGAAAAAAGTCATATTTTGTCTTAAGCAAAGGTTCCTCCTATGTATGAGTTTCTACCGACTGACATCTGGCTTATCGACTATGCTTTTTGCTGTCTGTGAATGTCATACAGCTTTACGTCGCCGCTCGTCGCTTTTATACTTTTTATTTGGCGTATGAACGCCTATATAATGATGTAACAATAATATTGACAGGAGGGAGAATCAGCCCCGGCAACGCCCGCAACTCCAGCGGCACCACTACCTAACTAACTTCGTACCTCAAGACGTATTCTTTTGAAGAAATTCTGATAGAAGCACTACGGTATTTGAATAATTAATTCTCACGTATATAAGTGCATAGAAGCTAAGTGACAAGCGCAACACTCTCTTTTTGTGTAAAGAGGTTTATGAGCTATTTTGTCCAGAACGTTTTCCATTAAACGAATTTGATATTAATAAATTTGTTTACATGTATTTTAAATCTTAGAACTTCATCTTAATTTATATAAGCCATGTCTATTTTGCCATGTATTAGCGGAGTTACGTCATTATTATTCTGTTTTTTTATATAATATTTCTGAATTGACTAACCATCGTATTTTATTACAATACGACTTCAGACGTATGTATATTCGTTTTGTCCGAATATTGTGTAAGGAAGTGCCCGTTATAAATATTACTAAGATTTTTTTTGTTACAGCTGCTGCGTAATTTTAATTTTAAGGTGGGTTTAAATTAAATTTCATTTATAATGTTTATGGCATTTAAAATACAGTTATTCACGAATATAATGTTACTTGGTATGTGAAAAATTATAATTTTAGCTAAACATTGGGGAAAAGAAAAACTTAAAAACATAAGTAATTAAGAACAGTTAAATAAACATTCTGTTTCAATTAACAGATCTGGATTAAGCCCATAAGTACGGAAATAAGAAGTTATTTAACGACGTGTTTGTTTGCACACCACCTTGAAACTTTGACCGTGTAAGGGTTGTGACAGCACAACAGAAGACACAAAATCGAAAAAAATAAAATGTTACACTAACTTCGTACCTACATGTTATTTTAATTCGCCATTAATTTAACGAACATTTTAAAATATTTTCTTAAAGAAATAAATTATTGTTTATTACTTTATAAATTTTATATTGTGTAAATGTAAAAATAAAGAAAACATGTTAATTACGTCATTGTTTCATTTTGAGCTTAAAAATATATTTTTTGGGATTTGTTACTTCAATGCAGAAGTAACAGTGATTTCTTTACTCATCTGCTACTTTATATGTAAGAAAGCGAAGCATTATGCATCATTTAAGTCCTATTTAAAGTCAAAACATTAAAAATAAAGTTAGATCCCTAAAATATCCAATAATTTAAATGTTCAATTTTATATAAATATAAAAAATAAACATATTGTTGTATATTGTAAATATTGTTTTAGTTAATGATGATTTTCAAGTTATGAAACTACTGAGTACCTCGGTACTATACTTCGAAACTTTGCTACTGTGTATTACTTGTTCAATTTCCTCATTATTTGGAGTAGAAGTCGAGAGCTTCCTATTAATTTACAATATTAATTTTAAAGTCTAAATATTTTATTGGTAATGACCTCCCCAATGTGTTAAAGTTAGCGAACCCGTCTAATTTGCTGCTTTCAAGACGGATTACAGAAAGCCAAGAGAATTATTTAAATAAATGAGAGTTCTGTGTTGGACTTAAGTTGCGTAATAAGCATTCCCTTAGGTTTCTCAAAGCTTTTGCATGAACGAACTAGCACCTTTACTTTCTTTATGTGAAAAGGTGGCAAACGAGCCGGAGGTTCACCTCATGTTAAGTGATAAGGTTGCAGATGTGTTAATAGTTTAGTAAAGTGGGCCCCGGCTACCTTACTCACCAGAAAAATCTAATAAGTATAATACTTTCAATTCACGCCGATCTTCATCGAGGTCGTGCAACAGCGAAAATTATAATAAGAATGAGCCAAGAAAAGTAATTAAGACTCATCAATATTATTTGTATCAAGCAGTATTTAAATTGAATGGTAGATTTAAAAAAAGTCGAACTATTAGTGCACTGTGAATAACTTAAAATATCCTTTAACAGTAAGGAAGTAACGAAAAAAAGAAATTTGATACACTTATGGAATGTGGTGAAATAAACACTAAATGTGAATTTTTATTTTAAGGAGTTTAAATAGTATAACTAGTTGATTAAAGTAAAAAAAAGGGTGTGTAACCTTTACACAATGTTGAAGTAAAACTAAATATATATTAATAATTAATTATTCATTAATAAATTGAAAATAATTTGCATTATTTAAATTAAATTATTACTAACCTTTAATTTAAATTGAAAAAAAATCTGTTTAATTCATATAATTAATAATAATTTAATTTATACACTTATGTATAATTCAGTCAGATACATACATATTACGTAAATATTAAAAAATCGGATGCGATAGAAACGGGTTTTCAACGTAACGCGTTTCCGAACACCGCGCGGGAAGTGGAAGTATGTATTATACTTTCGCTTATTGTCTGGTAAATAGGTTACTTTTTTAATGATAGTCACGCATTTGCTACCCGTAAGGTATTGTAGATGTATGTACACAAACAAAAAGTAATTTAAAATATTTTGAACAATTTTTAATAAGAATAAATATAAAGCAATAATTCTCGATCTACATATTCAGAGGCTGAGAATATTAATTTTCAAAATTCCACAACCCTATCACATCTATTTGGGCTATTGACTTACCTGTTTGATATTTTACTTGTTACATGGAATTTCAGTTATTCTGTTAGAATATTAAAATTTATTTGCACTTTCAATAATACTTACAATACTTATTCATACTTTGACTTCGGATTTTTAAAAAAATGTAGATAAATTATAAATTAATGTAGACAAATAACTTTTAATCTTATACTAGTCTAGCGACCCGCCCCGGCTTCGCGCGGGTGTAATATATTACACATATAAACCTTCCTCTTGAATCAATCTAGTAAAAAAAAACCGCATTAAGATCCGTTGCGTATTTTTAAAGATCTAAGCATACATAGGGACAGACAGACAGCGGGACGACTTTGTTTTGTACTATGTAGTGATCATCTCTCTTGATTAAAACGGATATTGATTTACTAATCAAAATACCGTGAAAAATTTAAGCTTAACCAAGCGGCGTGTAATAGGAAAAATTCCTGTGATCTCCAACACTGTGACGAAACATCAAAACACGGGCAATTGTGTTTTCAACTGTGTTTCTCGTGACAAAACGCGATTTAACGAATGTAGGTTTCTATAAATATTATACATATATTAGTTTTATTTTGTATACGTTTGTTTGTCATAGATGTTTATTGGAGAAATCAGTTCATTCTTAATTTATTGCAAGTGCATTTATTTATAAAGCAGTCATGCATAGTGCACAAGCTCTCATCATTACGAGCTTCTTGTTTCGTGTGTTAATTGTAGAAAGGATATCATAACGATTGTATTGAATTACTTAATTATTGTATCTGTGGGTGTGAATTTCAATATTTTATGTAAAATCTTTTTTTGATGAAAAGTAATTATAAACTAAACGCAAAAATTTTTTTAGGCGTTTCCTCGTGATGAAATATTACTTAATATACGTAATGTTCCGCTATTAATTGCCGTGGGGATCGGTAATTCAGCAAGATGTACGAGTAGTCGCTGTCGTCCGTGATGTCGCTGTAAATCTTACTTAAATAACTACAATAACATTAACAGAGAAATGAGAGAAATTACTGTTGTGTATAGGTTATTGCACACTGAGAATTTTTTTTTATTTCTCAACACTAAGCTTTCGGCCGTGGTAATAATGGGATATAACTTGATAATAAATTTAGTTTTATTCTTCGCGAGAATTTGGAATATAAAATTTTGAAAATAATTCGAATATAATATAGTTTCGATGAAAAAACGTGTTAGATTAACGATTAAATGATCAATTGTTTTTAAGCAGTATATTTAAAATGAATAGTATAGTGTGAATAAAAGATATAATTAATGGCAGGCGTTGAGTAAGTTTAATTATATTATGAGCAATGAATACAAATTGTGTATTTTTAATATCACGTTTATTATCTCTTCTTTCATTTAAGACCTAGGCTCTTGTCGGTGCAGCATCCCAGTATTTCAGCTGTGTAACACCCTCCATCCTTCCCTGTTCATAGCCCTATCCTTTACCTCTTTATAGGAATCAACATTTATTTACTTCTTTATTTGATATGTATGGCCTATCTTCGGTCTCCCATATATTTGACATAAATTCATAGTCAAACGAAATACTATTAATAAAACTTTTTATTTAGAAATTTAAATTGTTTATAGTGCTAATCTTTGCACTTAAGATTGAACATTAAAATATGTAGAAAAAGTACGAAAAGATTGTCGCCGTTGTGGGAATCGAACCCACGTCTTCGGCATTCGCGGCCTGACGCTCTAGCCACTGAGCTAAACGGCTGATTGCCACATTGACGAAAATCTTAACGTCTTTTTCTACATTGTTTCTTAGCATTTGAAGCAATGCTTGGCGCATCCATTGTTATAATATATAAAACTTCTTATTTTTCTTCCTTTATAATTCCATTACATTAGTACTTAAGGGTATAGAATTGTTAATTATAGACTTATAAGAAAATGAGTAATAGGAAGTTAGCCAGTGGTAAAAATGTAAAATAAAGAGATTAATATTTACTAAATGAAACTATGTTTACGGGTTTATTGCGTTTATTTATAATTTGATTTCCAAACGTTTTGAAACCTTTACAGCGTTCATGGTCATAGGACAGACAATTCTAGAGAAGGTAACTCATATTTTTGCTTTGTTGGAAGATACGTTGATGCAGGATAGATAAATATTATATGGCAAATGCATAAATATCTCAAGGTACTTGACTAGCACGCATCATCAACAATTTCTAATATTAAATGCAAAATATATAAACAAATACAGTAAACTATTAACATAAAAATAGAATCATCTTATTCTACTAGTCATAAACCAGGTCAATCGATTTGTATATTTACCACTGCTAATTTATAGTACTAACTACTAATTTACATTATTAACTAACCAGACATTTCCAGAACCGTTGAAACACTGCATACTATAACACTACACAAACCAGTAAATTAAATGGAAATGCCAATGTCGTGGACTATTGAATAATCATTAATGTATGAGACAACGTATTTGTCTTGTAATTTATGTTTAATCTACATAATCTACAC